TAGATGAATTCATGGGCATGTCCCTGGCTAAGGACATGTGGCTAGCATGACAACTACAAACTAGATGACAGTGCTGCTCAGGCAACTGCAGGTTGACCCAACATGCTTTGCATAATAAGAAGCCAAGCTCATTGCTTGGCAAGTTCCCTTAACATCTTCATACATTAGATTAACTTCCATTCAAACACTTGAGACTTGTTGGTGGGGTAGTATTGGAAGAACATACTCTAGGAGATGAACCAATCCCATCATTTCAGGAGAAAAAGTTCTATTTATGTATTCATTTATTTTGCAGTGTTGGGAATTACACACAGTATCTTGGCATACAGCAGGCAAAACGCTGTACCATTGAGCTTCACTGAGCCCAAGGGGAAAAAATTAAAAATTGTATTTGTTCTTTGGTAATTCATAATGCCGTTTAAAACACAGCATATTTAGGTCAACTCATCCCAGACCCAATTCCTTCATGATCCTTTTCCAGTCTTAATGTATCTTCTTGTTTGTATAACAGTCAGCACTGTGCATGTATGCACAGGCTTGGGGTGCCCTCTGCTGGCCTGCGAGCAACCCGTCATGGGGCATACCACTGAAGAAAACTGACTTTCCCCAAGTAGCTTCTTTAGCATTTTTAATTGTACCTGCTTTGTATGTTTGTGTGTGGGTGCCCTGCTGCAAATGGAGGTTAGAGGACAGTTTGCCAGCCTTGGGCCTCCCCCGTCTTGTCCTGGGCATGGAACTTGCATTGTTAAGTTTGATAGCAGGTGCCTAACCCTGCTGAGCCATAGCACTGGCCTAAGTTTTTTTTTTTTTTTTTTGGGGGGGGGGGGAGTTTACTTAGAGCTAAACATTGGTGCATCTTAAATCGAAAACAAGTCTAAGTAAATCTTTGAAAGCCAGTTTATCTTTGTTCTTTGAGAATATTTCACATCACTAAACATGTGGAAGGGATCCAAAGTGCCATGTATTCACGGAATGGGCACACACACCCTAATGAGTCCTTGCTGCTAATATCTGCAACAGCCTAGGTATCTTAGTTGCTTCTAAAGTTAGTATGTGCTTTTGAAATCTCCCTTAAAATAATGTGGTAACACAGAAGAGTACAATTATGTTTCAGTGTGGTGCAGTTTTCTGGGGATTCGTTGTGTTTGGCTAGCTTCTATTCTAGCCTTCTATCCCACAGCCCTGGGGCAGTTGGCCTCCATAGATATTGAGGCCTGAGGCCATGAGTCAGGGTGGAAATGAGGTCAGGGAGGCACTGAGGAACCCACTTCAGCTCTGAAAGCCACTGTGTGCTCCCTAGTGCCTCCTAGTGGTCCACTGCCATCAGAAAGTGAAAGCTGTCCCAGGAATTACGGTGAAGTAGCCACTGTGATACAGAATGTCATGTCTTGAATCATGTTTTGTTTCAGGCCGAGCAGGCCCAGGACCTTCCCAGAGAGTGCCAAAATCCGGGCGTTCCAGCTCTTTGGATGGAGACCATCATGATGGATACCACAGAGATGAACCTTTTGGTGGCCCTCCTGGCAGTAGTTCATCTTCTCGAGGGGGCCGGAGTGGCAGTAACTGGGGTAGAGGGAGTAACATGAACTCTGGCCCTCCAAGGCGAGGCACTTCAAGGGGTGGTGGGAGGGGTCGGTAGGAGCAGGGGCTGAGTAGCCCTGGGCCTCTCTGGATAGTATTTAAGAAGTTCTTGTGGACTTACCGAGTGAAGCGAAAAGAAGCCTTTACCACTGTAGCCCTGAGCTCTTCTTCTGGGGCAGCTGAGTTCTAGGATCCCAATGAGGTTTCGAGATGAAGAGACTGCGGTCACTACCCAGGGTAGCTGGCCTGTTTTCGTCTTGTCCACCCTCGTTGCCCTAACTCTCCCATGTTTTTTGTGAAGATAAAAGCTGGAATCCTTTTTTTTTTTTTTTTTTTTTTTTTTTTTAAGTGTCATAAGAAATGGAGCACCTCCACAAAGTTAAGTTCATGTCCAATTGGAAATTTATTTCTATATGTACAGTTTGTCAGAGAAAAAAACCTTGTTTTGTATGAATACAGAATGTGATTTACTCGAGAATTAACAAAAACAGCCGGCTGTGTAGTGCTTGCCTTAAGGAACTGATTTCTACTGCATCTGACCTCTGCAGTTACTGCTGTTGCTCACAGCAGACCAAGTTCGTATCAACTTTGTGCTTTTCCAGTAGTCTTTACCTTCCCGTTGTTACACCATCCCTGTTATGCGGTAGAGAATACCGCTCTAACATAGTTCAAGAAGACTCAAAACCTCAGACATGCTCTACCAGGTAGAAAATTACACCTGAAGATAAAATTGACTCTTCTGGTTCAACTCCAGGCTCCTCTCCCTTGGATTCATCTCCTAGCAGTTTAGTCTTGTCTTCATTGGGAAAGAGACCTGGTGTAAAGTGATGTCGACTGTATGCATCTTACAGTTATCTCATGCACCTCAAAGGACATGGAACAAAGTAGATTTTGGAAATAATCTCCTCTTCCACATTTGCTTTATGGGGACTTCAAGGTTTAGGGTAGAAGATAAGAGTGCGCCAGAAAGTTCTTTGCCATGACAGTCAATGCCACACAATGAAATCCTATCTCAAAACCACCCCCAGGACAGTCAGGGCTACATAGATACCTTATCTGGAAAAACCACCCCCACCCCTTAAGGGGAAAAAAAAAAAAAAAAAAAAAAAGCCAAACATAAAACAAAGGGCCTGGAGAGATGGCAGGGACTGGAATTCAGTTCTCAGAACCTATAGTCAGGCAGTTACAACACCTCTACAGCTATGGGGTAGGGGGGACATAAGGAGATGGATGATGATTCTTTTAAAAATACCCATCTACATCTGGACATGATGGTGCAATGCCATCCTTGGCTACATAGCAATTTTCAGGGTAGCCTGGGATACATGAGACCTGTCACTACTCCCTACCCTGCCCCCTAAAAGGAGGCGGGGCCTCAGGTTGAAAGTCAAAATTCTCTCTCTTTTTTTGAAGCTATTTCTTGTTTTTTTGGTTTCTTTTTTTACTTGGATTTATGTCTGTGTACCAGTTGTGTGCCTGGTGTCTCTGGAGGCCGAAAAAGGGCATCAGATCCCCTGGAACTGGAGTTTCAGGCAGTTGTAAACCACCCAGTGGATGTTAGAATTGAACCCATGTCCTCCTCTGGAGCAGCCAGTGCTGTTAACCACAGAGCTGTCTGTTTTAGTAAAAGGTCTGTCCTGGAGCTGCTAACATCTCATTACATTACCAGCTTTTTGGCACAGGTTTACTTGGCAAGTTGAAAAGAGATGACACAGTTGGACAAGTCTATAGAAATCTTCCCTAGCCCTCTCGATATGGAGTGGAAAAATGATTATTTGGGTGCTAGAACTTGAAGTAAACAATTTTCTTTTTACTAAAGAAATAAAAAAACTTCAGCACCCACACTATTGGAAGCTGTATTCCTCCTCACTTGCATAACATCAAAACAACTTACAATCAAATTCCACAGAGCTGCAAAGGCATCCACAGACCACCCAGGTCACATTCTGAGAATGAATTCATTAATAAAGAGAACCTCCACATTATACATTAAATGTCTACATGCAGCACTTCAAAAACCACTGTGAATATTTAAGATGTTGTGCTTAGAACTTTATAAAACTTACTTGACAATTTTGCGGTTTTGACTATAGTAACATTACTTGCTTGTACATCACTACTTGCAAACAGCCTTTCCTGAGAGGTAGGGAGCCCCGCACACTGCCTGGGGACACCAAAGAGAATGGTAGCTGGAAGTCTGTAAAGGGGACATTAGCCAGTGTGGAATCACAGCACAGGCAACTGCAGGAAGCAGCTACGGTCTGACCTATCCTATAACAGCAACGTTGGGACAGCCTGGAAAACTGTTAAGTTCACATTGTACAAGCCATTGTACAGATGTGGTTCTCAACTTAGCTGAACATGAAAACATCTAGGCATATATATAAAATATGTGATATATATATATGTATATATGTTATATATATATATCATACATATAATTGTCTGGACCCATCCACCAGTATTATAAATGAACTGATGAATGTGGCTTATTTTGATGTGAGAACCAATGGTAAAATTATAAGCTTCTACATATATTTTACTTTCTAGTATATCAAGATGCAATACTTTTGGGCAATAAATTATGAGAGATTTAAGAGGCCGATTCTCCCCAGCACAAAAAAAAAAAAAAAAAAAAAAAAAAACACAATAGTCATATATGAGTAGCATTTTGCATTAGTATCAAATGACATAGTACTTTAAAAAGCAGCAATAATGTTAGGAATAATAAATCCTTAGCAGAATCACTTTTATATCAAGTACAATAACCGCAGATGAAAGATTTCTGTCTCTCAGGACTCCTAAGCCCAGTTCTGCAGAAACCTTTGCAAACTTTGTGCATCACACTGGATATGTGGCTTCTTGATCCAGAAAATTGCTCTTTGGTGTATTGCTTTTACGATTAATTTTCCTTAAATATTATAAAGCACCATGTTTAGTACTTGAGGAAAAAAAACCTGAGGTAGAATGTACTAATCACTGTTTTAAATCCAGTGGCTAGATTTGGTGTTTAATCTGGTAATCTGCATTGATTTACAGTGAATAGGAATGAGGAGGCTTCGAAAACACTGCAGTAAAACCGAAACCTTATGCTCAGCTACATTATACCACCACATTCTTTTTTAAATGACAAAGGGAAGAAGAAAGTTCTTCCACAGACACGCAAGCAGCGGGCATTCCTTTCTTTTCCCCACCATTAAACTGCCGGCCACGTAAAGCCAGTTAGTTCCAAAGCAGTTCGTGATCGCGGTCTCCACAGCACAGTGTTTGTTACCAATCAGGTAATCAAGTCTTTCCGGGGCCCATGCTGCCCACCCAGAAGCAGAACGCTGAAGCCAAAGGATCTGCTGTGACCTCCAGCCCGTCGGTTCGTGGCAGTTGCTGCTCCAAACTCGGGCTCCACAGCACGGTCCAGTGGGTGTCGTGGATTTGGCGGTGCCTGGCTGGTTCCGCAGGCTAACACGGGCTGTCACACCGGAAGCGCGCTGGTCAGGCCCGCCCCACGATTTAGGCGACCAAGCGCTAGGCGTAGCGCCGCCACGCCGCCCCAGGGCAGGAGGCCCAACAGCGTATAGAGTAGCGCGGCTACCTGTGCGCAAGCGCCGAGCGCCGTCAGCACCGTACTGCGCAGGACCAGCGCGGCGTAGAGCGTGGCGCCCAGCGCGGCCGCGTAGCACAGAGCGTTCCGCGAAGGCGTCTCCTCGCCGCGCAGCAGGCGCCCGCAGGCCGGGCCGCCCCGCAGCAGCGCCGCGCTCGCCAGCGCCAGCACTGAGCCCAGCGACCAGAGGAGCGCGAACTTGCGCGCGCGCAGCAGCAGCACCGGCGCGTAGAGCGCCGCCAGGCCGAAACAGAGCGCGGCCAGCAGCAGGCACAGGCCGCCCGCCGCCAGGCGCTGCCCGCGCGTCACGTTTGGTATGCACCGCGAGCCCGCGGGCGGCGGCTCTGCGGGGCTCCGTGGCCACGGCCATCGCAAAGCCGTGCTTCCTAGCCATGCCCCGGCCGCAGGCTCTTCTGCTGTCCTCGAGGCGAGCAGCGGCTCGGCGGCTGCCGGCCGGCTCGCTTTACCCTGCGTCAGGTAGTCCTGCAGCTGGCGGTGGAGGTCCGCCATTTCCGACTGAGCGGCGATGGAAACGAGGCTGACACTTCCGGGGTTCGCGCCCGCAAGCGGAAGTAGCTAGATCCTCAGGCGGTGGTTGGTCGGCCACGGCGGAAGGGTGGTGCCCGGCCGGGGCTTTGCGGAAGTTCCGGAGTAGGCTGCAAAGCTGTGTTGCCTAGTCTCCCAGATCCTGATCTCGTGTTTTAGTCACGGAATAAATCGTGTCAGGGTTAAAAGATAGTTGAGGGTGGCTGTAGTAATAAAAGGATGCAGTAGGGATATCTCTGCTGGCATAATGAATGTTGACTGTCAGGTGTCAACACTAACAATTTTAACATTGTTAAAATTTTGCTAAATGGAGCAATCTGGGGAAAGGGGAAGAAATTTTCCTCCCTCTCTCCCTTCCGCCTTATGTTTTTTTCAAGTGTCAACATATCTACAGTTACCTCAGTTCTAAAATGAAGGAGCTGGAGAGGTGGTTCAGCTGTACGAGCACTTACTGCTCTTGCAGAAGACACAGGTTCGGATCCCAGCACTCAAAAAGCATCTAACAACCACCTGCAACTTCAAATTCCGGGGAATCTAACACACTCTTCTACCCTCTGCTGACGCTGTAGGCATGCGGTACACGTACAGGCAGATCACCCATATATGAAAAAAGTAAAATCTCAACTTAAAATTCATAACTACAGAGCTTAGGTTATTATTCCCTTTGAAAGAAGAGCTGGTAACGGGCTAACTCCCAGTCCACACATCTTCTGGTTTCTGCTTGTTTTGTTTTTTTAATTATTACTTTTATATTTGAAACTATAACTACATTGTTTCCCCCTTTCCTTTCCTCCCTGCAAACCCTCCCAAACATTCCACCTCGCTCTCTTTCAAATTCTTGGACTCTTTTTTTCCCATTAATTGTTATTACATGCATATACATGTATATATACACCTCCAAATGCAACCTGCTTGGTCTGTGTAGTGTTACTTGTATGTTTTCAGAACTATTTGGTGTTGGGTAACCAGCTACTGTGCTTTCTCCCCAGGGAAGACTATTGTCCCACCCAGCATTCCTTAGCTGTTTGTAGTTCTTTGTGTAGGGTTAGCATCTCCCATCCACTGTAGTCTATCTTTTGTTTTTGTTCGGCTCATGCTTGGGCAGTCATGTTGAAGAGACTATGGGAATAGCTTCTGACATTCCTGGGACACAGTCTCACCGCAAACTCCCTGTCCTGCTGGCTCTCCGCATCTTTCTGCTCTCTGTCTGCAGTGTTCTCCAAGTGTGATGGTTTCCATTTCTTGGCTCTATCCAATCCAAGATGTGCAAATGCCTCCCTCGTGTGTCTTTGGTTTACCTTCCATGGCCTGGGAGCATTATTTTGACTCCTCCATCAGACAACTCACGTCAGTTCCCTGTCTGTTCTGAGGTGGCTTGTGTGTGCTGTTCACTCCTTTCTGGAGAGGTGTCAGCCTGTGACTCAGAGGCCATACCACCAGTCTTCCTGGGGCTGCTGGTTAACCCCTTTTACCATTATGCTCACTTTCTGTGTGCCATGTTAGAACGGGCTTGCGATCCCTGTTCTGGGACCCAACAAGCCTAAAACAAAGATGTAAAGAAATGTGTGGGATGAGTCATCACAGCTGTCTGTCAGCACAGTGAATGTGCTCGGAAGGTTTAGTAGATGTTCCTGAAGCCATGGAAAGCTCCAGCCAAGTTATTGGAGTGTGGATGGCTGTGGTGAATTTAAGATGTGCTGCATAGAGGTCCCTTGTGTGGGAAATAGGATGCTTCATTTATAGCAGCAAACTAAGAGATGAGTTCAGAAAGGGATGCAGCACAGAAGGCGGAGACACCACGTGTGCTGACTAATCAGCCACAGTTGTTTTTAAAGACCCCCATCTTGAGAAAGTCCTATCCTCCTTCCCACAGGCCCAAACTTGCCCCATTTCCAATTTTCCTATCCTGCAGGCTTATCTGATGAATAGTATGGAACTTGAAACTGCCCCTTTGTCTGATGGTGGGTTCAGAGACAAGCAGTCACCAGCCACCAGCTAGGAGAGAGAGGGGCCTAGTGCTTCCTGCTTGTTTGTGACTCTTTGATGGACTCTAAGCACACTCATACGGAAAACACTCTATAACAATGTCATCTTTCTTGTTTAAAAATAATGGCTAGGCAGTGGTGGTGCACACCTTTAATCCCATGAAAGGATGTTAGATTTTTGTCAAAGGCCTTTTCTACATTTAATAAGATGATCATATGCTTTCTTTTAGTGTGTTTATGTGGTGGATTACATTCATTGCCTTACATGTGTTAAACCATCCTAGCATCTCTGGGATGAAACTGATTTGGTCATGGCAGTGGTCTTTTTGATTTTTCTTAAATTTGGTCTGCAAGTATTTTATTAATTTTTTTTGGGTATCTGTATTCATCAGAAATACTGGCCTATAATTTTCTTTCCTTTGTTGTATCTTTGCCTGGTTTGGGTTTTAAATGACAATGGTGGTTTTGTAAAAGGAATTTGGAAGCTTTCCTTCCTTTTGTACTTTACACATAATTCAAGGTGTATTGGTATTCTCTGGTAGAATTCTGTACTTAATCCATCTGGCCCTAGCTATTTGAGTTGGGAGATTTAAAACAAAACACTTTTATTGATTCTTTATGAATTTCACATAATGCACATAATGTGTTCCAGACCCACTCCCCACTCATTTCCCTGTCCCTCTCTATCTGCCTTCTGTTTCTGCAATACCACCCCCCTCTACCCCCCCCAGCCCCAAGAAAGCAAGCAAACAAATCTTGCTATGGAAGCTGCAATGTGTTACGGTGTCACACGGTATACACCCTTTTGCCTAAACAGCTTTGCTTACAAATGATCATTGTAATGAGCCATTGGGCTGGTTGGAGGCCTGTGGCTATTGCTACACTGCCAATACTGGGTCCTCCGCAGAACACCTCTGGGGTATCCTGCCCTGTGTCTCTATGGAGACCCTGTATTTTTGGGTCTGCAGGGCCAGATCTTCACAGGTTCCCGCAGGTCATGGATGGGTTGGATGTTGGGGTGGGCCAACTCAAAAGCCCTGGGTCTGGGCCTGGGTGGTGGCTGAGCTGGTTAGTCTGCACCACCAGGGCCAAGGGCCAGATCTGTTTTGCCCAGCGAGCGATGTGGCTGGCTGGCTCTCCTAAGCTTATGCTGGTAGGGCTAGCTTTCCCTCACAGATGCCACCAAGGCCAGCTCAACTGTGCTGTCCAGGGGAGGTGAGAGGCTGCTCCTGCTCTCATGTTCTTGGGGACTTCTCTCCCAGGGAGTTTTTTGTTTTTGTTTTTAAGGGTTTTTATTTTATGTGTATGGGTGTTTTGCCTGCATGCAGTGCCCATGGAGGCCAGAAGAGGGCACTGGATTCCGTGGAGCTGAAGTTGCAAATGGTTGTGAGCCACCATGTGGGTGTTGGAATCAAACAGACCTCTGGAAATGTAGCCAAGTGCCCTTAGCCATTTCCCCAGACCCTAGTTGGGAGATTTTCAGTTACTGGTTCTGTCCCATTGAATGTTATGGGTCTATTTAAATGATCTCATCTTGACTTATCTTTGGGAGGTAATATATGTCTAGAAATGTAGATTTTTTTTTTTTTTAGGAAATCCTTATGATTTCCTGAATTTTCTCAGTGTCTGTTGTGATGTCTCTAATTTAATTCATGTGGATCCTGTCTTTTAGCTAATTAGGCTGAAGTTGTGAATCTTGTTAATCCTTCAAAAACCATCTGTGATGGCTAGTCTTGATTGTCAGCCTGACACATCTGGAATCACCTGAACTAAAGCAGCTGGGAATACCTGTGAGGGAGTGTGTTGATTGGACACTTGAGGTGGGAAGACCCATCCTAAATCTGGGCCACACCTTCTGGTGACAACCCACTTGAAATGGTGTGGAAGAAGAGAGCTTTGCATTTTGCCTGTTTGCCCTCACTCTGGCTGGTAAGTTCATCCATCCTGTTGCCGACACATTCCTTTGCTGGTGTTAGAACCTGCTTCTTTGGGACTCCATGGTAGCCCGAAGACCAGCTGAGACAGCCAGCTTTGTGGACTGAACAACTATTGCTTTCCATTGGGAGACAGCCATTGTTACCCTAGCTGGACCACAGCCTGTAAGCCATTCCAATAAAGCGTGTGTGTGTGTGTGTGTGTGTGTGTGTGTGTGTGTGTGAGAGAGAGAGAGAGATCCTTACAGAACTCTATGACTAAAACAGTCCCCAACTTAAATCCTGTTCAGTGGCACAATGGTCCTTCCTAGAGAAGGGCCAGCCTGTCAGACGAAGAACTCTTAGTTGTATCTGAGGAGACTTATTTTGTTTGGAACAGAGGGTGGAAAATTCCATTCCTAAAAATGTTAGTGATAATGAAAGGTTTTTTTTTTTTTTTTTTTTTTTTTTTTTTTGGTAAGATATTAAAGGGAACTGAGAAGATGATTCAGTTGGTAAAATTTTTGCTTTGCAAGCATGAGGACTTTTGTTTAAGACTCAAGTACAGTAAGCCAGGTGTGGTGGCAAACGTTTTCACATCAGTGTTGAGGAGGCAAGGCCAAATAGAGATCCCTGAGGTTTGCTAGCCAGCTAGCTTATACTGCTGTGCAGGTGCCAGGGCAATGAGAAACAGGTTTCAGAACAAACAACAAACAAACAAGAAAAAGAGAAAAAAAATAGTGTATAGTGTCTGAGGGGCGCGCGCGCGTGCGCGCACACGTATATGTGAGCACATATACAAGAAAGAACTTGATAGGTACATGATAGCAACAAGAAAAATGACAGCGCTCAGAAATGTAACAGGTCTAGAAAGAGAGAGTCTAGGAAGAGCCCCCCTGGGAGGCAGAAATGTGTGCATAAATGTTGGGTTCCTATAAAAACGGGCAGTCGCAAGATGCTTGGCAGTATTGTAAACGGTTTTCAGTGCCTCAGTTTTCAGGGGGAACAGAACAGAAAGAATGAATAAGGAGGGATTTATTAGATTGGATTACATAATATACTCTAGGCAGTCAACAATAGCTGCTCCATTTGGAGAGCAGAGAACTG